AAAAAAAGAAAAGAAAGAAAAGAAAGAAAGAATGTATAGATATTGGCAAGGTCGGGAAGGGGACCACGGACTTGACTAGATTCTATTGTTTAAAAAAAAAAGATTTCGCCTTTTTTTTTGACAGTGATGATTTTGGAGAACAAAAATAAAGAAAAAAAAATTGGAGATATTGGCGAGGATGGGGGTGATGGAAAGGGGAGCGAGAGTTAGCCGTGTTTGGCAATGGGGCAGATGACATCCTGGGTATCAATTTACACATCTTTCGACTGGGAGACAGTACCTCCTGGTTTAACGCGACCGCAGGCGAGACTTTTTAAATGTTATTTATCGTCTTTTATGGGATGAGCTGGTGACCAAAAATCCTTGTATTATTTGGCATGCCCTCGTCGCCGCAAATAATATATGAGTAGGGGGTCTTGAATTTCATTGACTACTCTGGTCACAGAATTTGTAGAAGTGGAACGAGCGCATTTTTCTGTTACGGTACCATTTTCCCCATCCTTTTTTATCCTGAGTTTAATTTTGAGATTGCGGGGGGTGGTTGTAGGGGGCCATAGGTTGATCCTACTTCACTATTTCCCCTCTGGCGTTTTTGTCTGCCTATCTTACTTTTTCCCAGCACTTAATGGCCGTTTTTGTGTTGAGGTGGTCCCCTTTACTCAAACAAACTCGAGGATTATCTTGAGATTGCCCAATCTGAATCAGTTGCGTTGTTAAGGACGGTTCCGCTGTTACATTGGCTTGAGAAAGAAGCTACTGTCCATGTTTATAAGCCCTGAGTATCAAAAACCAGTATTACGTGTAAGCTTACTTAAACTTTTGATTTTAACGGAAACTGACGTTTACTGACCACGAAGTACCGAAGAGAAAATGAGACACGTTAAATTTCAGTTTGAATTCATAATAATAGTAATAGTTGCATTTTTCATTAATTTACTCATACTTGTTGCAAAACCTTTTAACTCAGATACTCACGTTTCCCATTTTTTATGCCAGATTGCTCCTTTCTCTTCTTGTCTTCACAATAATATATAGTCCAACCTTGTCTAATAGTCACTTGTAAAAGACAATCACCTGTGCAAACGGCGCTTACTATTCTCTCCCTT